GGGAGATTAAGGTTAATTTTTTCCCTTTTTTCCCCCCCCCCCTTTTTTTTTTTTCGTTTTTTAAATTACTTTTTCCTAAATACAACGCAGGTGCGATGGAAGGCTCATCTGTACGGGTTTCACCCTGTGGCGTGTGGTTTTGACCAGAAGTTGCCCGTGCCGAAATGTGGCAGGCTGCCTGTGGCACCTCCAGCTGCGGCAGCCCGGCCGGGGGCTCTGGGCTGCCTGGGGGGAGGGATAGGTTGAATTGGAAGAAATGAGTCAAAACTGGGAATTACTTGCGGCAGCCAAGCGCGTTTCTCACTGGCTTCCTTTTTTCTTTTTGCCTCAGGGTTTTGTGCTTTTGAGGGTCGCTGTGAGTTATCTGTCATCAGCAACCCGCTTCTGCTATGCAAGTGCTGCTGTTCTTGAGTCTTCTCAGCAGTTCTTCCAAAATACAGTTTGCCGTCTCTGGTGTGGCTCAATACAGGTGGAAATAAGCTTTCCAGGACCATTTCTTCTTTTTTCTCCATATGCCTTTTTAAATTCCTCTTTGCTGTGAGCTGTAAGCAGTTGCTGCCCCGCTGGTGGTACCCCCCAGCAGGGAGGGGATGGCACAGAGCATGCTTTGCCCCACCTGTATTTCTCTGCTTCATGTCTTACTGCGAGGCTGAAAGCTCCTTTGAGGAGAGAGGATACAGTATGTGTTTTTACGTTGTCAGGGAACAGCTGCACCTTTAAATCAGGTCCTTTGTAGTTGTGGTTATGAACCAGGAGAGAGGTGAAAGTACAATTAATGTCTGGTGCTCCACAAAGAACAAGTTACTCCCTTGCAAGAGCAGCGGGAAACGAATTACAGCCTGACCCTGGTGTTAAGTTTAACCCTACAGCCTGTACACAAGGAACAGCAGAAGGTCTAGGTCATGGTAAGGAAAGTGCTTGATACATTGAATTTTTATTGGAAGTTGGGTATCTAAAGCTCAGTTCTTCAAGGAAAAGGAACTGCAGTCCTGAGGCCATGGTGCGTATTAGCAACGGCGTTGGGATGTCCCAAGCTTGTTTACACGTTTTAGTGCTGAGAGATTCTGGTGTGGCTTCCTTGCACTTCTGCGGATCAGTAATCTGTGCGTGTTGTGCAGCAGCTGCCAACACAAAATGCTTGATCTAAGTGTCCTGAAAGCTGAATACTCAACTTCTGTAGCGCAGATGAATATGCAGCCCACGCCTCTATTTAAAATGCAGACCAAACACAGGCCAGATAGTTCTCTAAAGTGTCTGTTTAAAACACTACATGCTGCAGCCTGTTGTTTCCACAAAATGAAATCTTTTGAGAGTAGCTGTATTTGCACATAAAGATGAGGTCATCTGCTGCCTGTTTGATTGTTGCATTTAGGGTTTAATTCGGCTTCCTGCCAAAATGCTAATTTTACTTTCAGCTGAGAAAGATATGGAAACTTTGTCAACATACAGCACGCATGGCAGTGGCATGGCATGGCAGTTATGCACTTAAGTAGGGTTGTGTACAAAGTATTTTAAAATTGAAACCTTTGTCTTCTACTCTAGCACAGTGACCTCATGGGTACTTAACTGTTGCCCTTCTTCAGTGGCATCAGAGGCTGGAAAGCATTTGCTCCATACAAGTCAGTCTTCAAGCTATGTTTCTGGGAAGTTTTGTCTGTTTTTAAGGTTTCTTAAAAGAAAAAATGAAATATAAACTCTCAGCCACCCTGAATTCACCTCGATGCTGTCGCTGACCACGCAGCAATTTTAAAAATGCAAATGTATGCATATAGTATGAAAATCTATGTGAGAAGTGATTAAAAACTATAGATGGTTTGTGGCACATCCTCGGTGTTTGTTTGCAGCTTATTATTAGAACATCACACCCCCACACATGTTGGCAACGAAATATGTTCTCAAATTCGTCGAGTTGGCACTTTCCAGTGAGTTTTTCAAAATGCTATAAAAACTGAATAATGAAAAATGAATAATTTTAATAACATTTGTTTCCTGTTATGTACTGGAATGCGATATAAAAGTTAAAATTATGAAGTCCAAATGGAATATTTAAGCCTCTTTATAGCTCTCTATTTTTTTTTTACTTTTTTTCCCCCAGCGTATTTTGACATTTCATTCTGATCTTGAGATCTGTGAATTTTCTAAAAAAAAAAAAGAATAATTTTCCATTTTGAAAAGCTGCGTCTATAACATTAAAAGAAGAAAGCTAAATATTTTAGAGAGATTTATTTTTTAGGAGCCTCTTGGTGGAGATGCTCTGGTCAGAAGTTTTGAGGAAAGAATCTTCTCTTCCTTTTCCAGCCATTTGTGAATGTGAAGTCATTAATGGCAACTTCCCTGAGATCCCACCAGGAAGTTCAGCTACATATTTTTTCTGTGTTGTGCTATTGTCAATCAGATTTTTTTTTCTTTCCCTCAAGAGAGGCAAGTGTTTTCTGTGAGAGGATGTGCTATATTTGAATTAACTCGATGTCACAGTTACTAGGAGGAACAGACGGGGACAGCTAGCATATGTTACTCCAACTTTTAGCACTGTGCTGTCCCTCTGAAGGCTGCAAGCAGGCTCTGCTGTGCAAGGCCCTGTTACATGCAGTCAAAAAGTAATTCTTGTGCTCAGTAACTGTATGTCTTGATTCTTAGGGACTGTCAGCAGGCTGATATAAAATATTTATCTGGATGGAAACAGTGGAAAAGAACGAGCAGTAAATCATTGAAAAAAGTCCTCAATGAAGTCAAGGAGTTGTCATCTTACCTGGAGCTTTGGCGACATGATATTCACACCATAGAAGGTATTTACTGTCTTATGTCAATTTCTCCCCTTTCAAGTTGCTTCTGTTGTTGGTAGTTTTACCTGTGTGAGCATAGTTTCAGATATAACTGTATGTGTTTAAGAAGTGACCTGCTTCCTTTATTATTGCTGATATATCCATGATGGGGTAGAAGGAAAGATATTGGAGAAAATTATTAGAGAGTCACATTTCCATTTCAGTTATATTGCTAAAAGCCTGCAGTAGTTAAAACTAGCTTTAGTAATGTTTTGTGAGTTAACTCGATGTAACTGAAATGATAATCTGCTCATTCTGTATTTTCAATGATTTTATCATCTTAATTATTGGCGCGCGTTTCTTTTATTCCCAGGGAAATTTGGTACTGGCATTCAGTCCTACTTCTCCTTCCTGCGTTGCTGAATTTTATAATTTTTATCCTGATGTTCAGTTTTGTTACCCTTCCCAGCATCATTTCTAAATACGGACTATTCAACAGCAGCTTTGCTAAAATTCCTCCAGAGAACATAGGTAAACATCTTCTCTATGTACTACTGTTGTTTGTAAGAGTCCCCCTTTCCATCAGCTTCTCCTCTGCCTCCCAGGACGAAGAAATACCTTTTTTTATGAGAACTTGCCATGTTTGAATTAACTTGAGCTTGCAGTTTAATAGGCATTACCATTTGAGTGACTTTTCCTGCCTTTCTTTTGACAGCGCCTCACTGCACAGTTTATAAACATAGTGATAATATGGGACTTGTTTACTTCTATACTTACCTCAAAGATTTGCTTAGTGGCACTGTAAGTAATTAGATTTTTTTAATTAAGTTTCTGTGTCCTGCATAACATGTAAAATGTGAAAGCATTCTACTTGGGGGATGAAGCTTTGATAATTTTGAAAAATGATAAGGCATATGCATCACTGGAGTAAAATCAGCCTTTATCTGTGAGAAGGGGAGTTTTCAAACTGACTTTTACTGAGCATCCATGAGGCCTGGTTGGCCACATGCTGCAGCCTGCACCTCTCCTCCCCAGCTGCTAAACATTACATATTCTGGAGCACGCTGCCTATTGTGCTCTCTGTGTAGGCTCTCAGTGTCCTTGTCATAGAGCTCTTTGATTGGAGAGGGGAGGGATTTTAAGCACGTAATGTCTGCATTACAGTTTGGTAGAGGCAACGGCAGTATTTAGAAGCTACAGACTGTTGTAGCTTGCTGGGGGCCCCAATATTAATTTTAAATTTACAAAATGATTGCTTAGTACCAGGTTGGATTTAAGTGGGCAGTTGCTGCTACTATTACAAATTCTATTTAAACTTCATGTTTTTACAGGGATTCCTTGAAGTGACAAGTTTGTTTTATGGCTATTACACAATAGATGCTGCGTGGCTCAGTGTCCTGAGGTACAACTTGCCACTAGCGTATCTGCTGGCTACATTTGCCTACCTTGCGTTAAGTCTCCTCTGGATAATAAAAAGGTAAAGATGTTGGCATAGTTTATTTACTGCTACCTATTGCACAGTTTACATTGCATTCTTGCTTGTAGGGAACATGCTGCATTCTAGAACTGTTTTATAAGGAAATGGAGAATTTTTTGCTTGAGGATGCAGTGCCACGCTAGCCTTTGTCTGTCTTTGGGAAACTGAGCCAGCAAAATAAATAAAAATAAATAAATTTGAAGTATTAGCGTTTCATTTGTATGCATACATATAAATAAAAGACCCTCAACTATAAAGTAGTTGTTGCTGGAGGATTTTATTTTTGTTTTTTTTGGGGGGGAGGGTTTCCCTCTCATTTTCCTGAGCCAGCTCTTTGCAGCATCAGAGAAGCACTGGATGAGGAGAGAAGGTATGCCTGTGGCTAAGTGCAGAGGGAAGTAACTAGAAAGCAAATGTGGCTGTTTGCTCATGGGGCGGGGGGCGGTGGGGAGGTGAAAGTGTGTGGGGGGGGGGGGGGGGTGTGTGAGAGTGCCATTTAGTCTTTGATGAGCCAGGTTGCTTGAGGTGTGGTTTTTTTGTTTCATTTTCTGTGGATAAAATACATCTTTTCGTGAATGAAGGAAAGTTGTATTTTTCTCTAGGTCTGTGGAAGGATTTAAGCAGAACTTAGTGCATGATGAAGATCAATTTCAGAGTTACTGTAACAAAGTCTTTGCAGGCTGGGACTTCTGCATTACAGATCCACATGCAGCACGGCTAAAACATCGCAGCTTGCAATATGAGCTCCAAGTGAGTAACTCTCATTTTTCTGTGATTACGTTTTCATATAGCTTAGATGGCTAAAAAAAGAGAGGTGTGTAATTCTGCAGATAATGGAATAAGGATAAGAAGGATTGAAGTAGTTTATATTGGGGGCAGGGCAACCCACATCCTCTTGCATGCTTTGTAGGTAGCTAGAATTGTGGTGTGAGAAGGATTGACACTGAGGTTGACGGCCCTTCCCCCATCCACTGGGAACTGAAGCCAACCTATTAGCTGCTTGTCTTATCTGCCTCTTCCTCACACTCCAGTGCTGCTTCCTGTGTTAGTTTCTACATGATCCAACAGGAAAAGCTATCCCAGCTGTGGGCAAAATCCTTGTACTGTTGGGAGTCAGTTTGAGTATACTGGGTTATAAGTCTGCAGTGTGGTAGGCAGTAGTTTGGAGAGGAATAAAATTCAGATGGTACTCTTCATACCAGTTGAGAGCATTGTTGCAGTAAGAAGATACTGCAGGTTTTTCACAAGGTGTCTTTGATGCACATGCACATACAAAATGCTGATGCAGCTAGTAGATCTTCCAAATCAATGTCTCTGAAAAGAGTCTGAAAGGCTTTTCTGGTGAAACTAGTACCTTCTTTTTGCTCTGTGTGCACTGGAAGCAGAGATTTGTGTAGTGAAACAATTACCTTTAAAAAGATACTTCCACTTCAAACCACAAAGCAGTAATTACAGATTTCATAAATTACAGTGAGTTACTTTCTGCTCTAGTGAAGTTCACAGTCATCTTTTTTCATCACATAACCAGAGCCTCCTTCGCTTACCATGCTTTTGCCTCTAGAACTCGCACCTTAGAAACACATGCCCCTTCATATTACTGTTTGATGGAAATAAGTCCTCAGAAAATACCTGGGTAATCTGTGGGTTTGCCCAGGTTAAATTGCCTTCACAGGCGATACTGTATTTTCACATCAACCAAGGTGAGAGATATCAAGTTTACGTGACAAGCTGCTCAAAACTGTACTTCTTTCTCTCTGTGCCATCCCCCAATTTTCCTTCACAAAGAGTAGGAGAAGGAAGTTTGAGCCATAGCGATGAGGGCTGGTTACTTACCTGCAGAAGTAAGGAGATGAGTGGACTGATGTACCCATTTCAGAGTTTAGTACCAAGCTATCTGACATCAGTCTCTCACAATAAACAAACAAGTTGTCTTTCTGTCCTCAAGGAGATATGTTACTGATATAGTAGAGATAAGAGGATTATGAGACACTTGTCTTTGGCTATAGGGCCCTCAGCCTGAGGAGACTGAGCACGCTGGGGCTTCCGCTCCCGTACGGACCTGTTGGTGTCAATGAAAAGGCACTCTCAGTTCAGTGTGCTTGGGCAGATGGTGGAGTGGCTCTCCTAGAACAGGCTATGGATTTGCACGTCCCAGAGGTAGAAGACATGGTGTCAAGTGTTCTATGCTGCACTAGAAAACTACACATCCTTTTTCTTTTGTTTGTAGACAGACTTGGAGGAAGAAAGACTGAAGCGAAAAATAGCTGACAGGACAATGAAAGAAAAGCTAAGAATCTACTCTCTGAGAATATTTATAAATATAATTGTCATTGCAGTTTTATCAGGATGTTTCTACTCTATTTATAAAGCAACTGTCTTCTCTCAAGAAAACTCCAATGTAAGTATCAGACATGACATTAGGACAGATACAGTCGGGGCTGGTGATTACAGCAAGAGGAACTATTGTGAAAGAGTCAAGTATCTTAATATAGCACCTTTCATGCAAGGGATCTGAAAATGCTTTCTACGACCTAGAATTTTTTTGCTCCTAGAATTTCTTCTCCTAGTAGAGGAGAGTGAGAAAGATCAAGAAGCATGTGCAAAAAAACCCCGGCAATGTCTCCCTTTGGTACAGAGGTGCCAGTGTCTCTGCCTTGAAGATAATGCAGCTGACAGGAAAAGCAGCCCTTGCTTCTCTTCCAATGTAACTGTTCTCACCTCACTGTAACCTGCTAGTACAAACGCTTGTGTGCCTGGGCAGTGAACTGGCTCAGGGAACTGATCTTGTTAAAGCAAACTTCATTGTGATGAGTTTTGTGATCTGTTTCACTGCTCAGCTGCAAAAATGAACAGCAAGGGAAGAGAGATTATCATCTGTATTGTGGCTTGAGTTATGGCTGTGTGGGGAAACAGGAAGACTTTGAACACAGAGCGCTTTGCAGAAGAAAAGGTTCTTGCATCAGTAGCGGAAAGAATCAGGTTGAGTGGGGTTGTTCATCCCTGGCAAGACAAGCAGATTCAGAAGAACAACAACAAGAGCAGACAGCAGTTTCAACAGTTTCACAACAGCAGTTGACGTCTCTGTAGGACCCCAGGGTTGAATTAGCCTGACATGAATGGAGAGCGTTTTTTCTCTCCCTCTGTTCACTGCTGATGTGATGGGCACTGGCTGTGTATGAGGGAAGTTGTGCTCGTGGCGGACCTAACTCTTGGCTTCTGTAAACTGCTAGGATTGCAGAGAGAGAAACAGCAAATGGGGGCTAAAGAAATGTTTGTGTCAGAGGTATTGTTTGAGGGCAGAGAAAGATGATAGTACAACACTGAACAACTCAAAAAACAGCCTCACTTGCTGTTGGCTTTATGTATATGGGTTGATATCTTGACGTTGCCTAAATGAGTAGGTAGAGAAGCTTGTTAAGATGGTAGGAAGGTCAGGGGAGCTGCTTGGCACTAGTGTGAATAACTTGAAAAGTGTCTGTACTTTGGCATAGGTATAAAAGCTGGTAGCCATAGCACTGGGTTAGACAACGTAGTCAGACACAGGCCTTGGTGAGATGAGCCTCTTCAAACAGAAGTTTTGGGGAAGCGCTAAAATACTCATACCTGGAGGTCGGGGGAGTTGCTGGTGAAGTGAGCAGGAAAAAGCAAGGGTGTAGCAGCAAACTGCAGAGATAAATAGCAGTGGTCTGGCTTGTAGTTCCAAATGTAGGTGGGTGATGAAGAGCGAATAAAATATGATACCTGAATCCTGGGCAAGAGAGCCTGGTGGGTAGCTGGAGAGAGCACGATGTCAGGAAGGTGTGTTGCTCTATTATCTTTCTCTCATCTCTTCTTGTACAGGGCATCAGCGATACGAACTTCCAGGCTAATCTCTTAGTGCAGTATTTGCCTTCCATTGTGATCACATTGGCCAACTTCATTGCTCCTCAGATCTTCTCATTTCTGATCAGATTTGAAGATTATTCACCAGCCTTTGAAATCAGGCTGACACTCATGAGGTAAAGATGTTTTTATTGTGGCCTTAGATGTTTGACCAGCTTGTTCTTAGTAGGTTATAAGTATTGTAAACATTGAAATACCAAGAAGCAGAGAGGTTGGACTCTCCGCACTGGAGGGCCTGGGCACTGGAAGCCAAGCAGGCACTGTTTGACTTACGTTTAGTTGGAAACTTTAATTTTAAATCTGGAAACAATCTCCTGTTTTGATGACAGTACAGTGCAGTCATTTCAGTGTCCAAGTTTTTCTCTCAGTCCCATTTAGCTGTGTGATCTGGACATCTTCAACAACCTGAATAAACAGTCAGTAGCGAAGTTGTGGCTGCAGAGCTGTGGTTTCACACCGCTTTGCGTGCAGCAGTTCCTTGAATGAGCAAATGTGTGTGTACAGCAGTGACTGAAGCGCGGCTTTGCTCAAGGCAGAAGTTAAAAGTTTTGGGCTAAAAGATACTTCAGTGTGAGAGCCTGAAGAACCGGCCTTTGGCAGCTTAAAGCGGTAAGATCTGGGTTGAAGCATCTGAACTCTGCAAGCCCCTGTGCTTTGTATTTACAATTTGGCTAAATGCCTCTGAAGGCCTGAAGCCATGTGAGAGGGAAATGCTGCACACAGAGTTGTCACCTGGCCTCTCAAACTGTACTTGAGACAATCGCAGACCATCGCAGGGTCAAGATCTGCAACTGAAATGACTGATCTAGGAACAATACTGGGAAAAGAAGCAAGAGATTGCAGCCTAAAGCAGGGAAGGTGAAAAGCAATTTAACTTACTACTAAGGAAAGGAGTGTGTTTATTAAATAGTTGGTGGTTCCATTGAAGCTCTGTACAACCCGACCCTTTTGTGTTTCGAATGATGTTAGAATGTCTCTTTTTTGGCAGGTTTGTAATTGGGTTTTGCCTTTCTTCCAGGTGTGTCTTTGTGCGGTTGGCCAATATCGGTGTTCTCTTGTTCTCACTGTGGAGTCAGATCTCCCACTGTGACACTGACAAGTGTAAGGCCTGTGGATACAATTACGAACTCTATCCTGTAAGCAAATTTATTTTGGTCTATAATCATCTGAACTTGTGAGTAGAGATTTGTTTTCCATGAAACTTGCTTGTCTAGAAGTATTCAAAGTCAGACCTAGAATTGCCATTCTTGTTCTATCTGGTGCTGATTTTTACTGCTCAGTGCAAACCAGTACACTTCTTACATGTATCTTTTGTTTATCTAAAACTCTGATTAGAATTAGTCCAGTGGCAGATTATCATTTAGCATAGACTTTCTGACCTCACGAGGATTGTTTGAGGTAGCTCTGTTTTGGAGACAGTTGTGTTACTGCCTTTTGTTCCAATAAGACAAATGGTCTTTCCTCAAAAAAAAAAACCCAAACCCAAACAAAACCCAACAAAACAAACAAACAAAAAGCTTGGCATGGAAGCTCTGGAACACTGAAATATTTTAGAAATGGGACTTAATACAATTTGAACTTTATGGTGTTAACTGAGAGGTTTGTTGCTTTAGTGATTGACGGATTTATTTTTCACTTGTGTTTAGATTCCTAATCTTGTTTTTTCCTGACTTGTTTTTATAGTGCTGGGAATCTGAAGTTGGGCAAGAAATGTATAAACTGATGATATTTGATTTTATTATAATTCTTGCTGTGACCCTCTTTATAGATTTTCCTCGAATGTAAGTTTCTCTGCCTTTTGAGCTTACTTTTGCAAATGACTTACAAAACATGTTTCTTCTGTTATTAATTCCCCATATTTCTAATCAGATTACTAGTTTTAAAATAAAACATACACATATTTCTGGTAGTTTTTTATACTTGAGTCTTTTTTTTTTTTTCCCCCCAGACATTTTTCTGTTATGTTGTCTAATGCTTAAAAGCTGAATATGTGTGTTCTAAATGTGTTAGAATTCAACTAAGCTCTGTAACTTCAATTTAGAACTAATGCTGTTCTTCGGGTTTAGGTTGTTAGTTACTCATTGCTCTTGCAAGCCAGTTCAGTGGTGTGGATTGCAGGAATTTGGAATTTCTGACAATGTCCTGGAGATCATTTACGGGCAGACTATCTGCTGGATTGGAACCTTCTTTTCACCACTTCTCCCTGCAATAGCAACTATAAAATACTTCATCATCTTTTACATTAAAAAGGTAATGAAGGTTTGTGGTAAACAAATAGAATTGAGCACATCTCTGGTTTTTGTAATGTAGATATGCAGTTGATTTAAAACAAAAAACCTTAAAAAAACAACCCAAGGATGTGGTGTACTGGAAATGAGGTAATGGTATTCCATTTTCTGTAGGTTTTTTGCTTTTAAGAGAAGGTAGAATTTTGCTTTGAAATAAAGCAAAACAACGTTTTAATAATTACCTCATCAATTATATGTCTTATTTTTAAATTTTTTTTATGTAATAAAGCTAGTTTATAACATTTTTCTGCAATAATCTGTTACTAGCAACCGAGCTTAGAACTTGGACAAGCTTTTGCCAAGCTGCTAAAAATTTGGAAGCAAAATGGATGATTATCCAGGCTGGATTGGATGTTCAAGATGTGGTTTCTGCATATCAGAAGCTTTGCTCTGTGACCAGACAGCTCCTTCTGTGCAACAAGTCCTTACTGATATTTTAGTTCTTGCAGGGGGGGATGTATCCAGTGAAGATTCGGCAGATCAAAGCTAAAGGCTGTGCCATGGATCATACACCAAATGACTATGTCAGTTGACTCTGTGCAAGTGCACGAGGCCCTCTGGATCAAATTCTTACCCAAAATAGGAGACATTGACTTACACTAGAATGTAAAGCGTTCTTGTCTGAGTCCTCTTCAGTCAGTGTACATCAAAGGAAGGATGATTATGTGGTAGCTGGTAGCATGTTTGAGGACAGAAAATTCAGTTGGTGGGGAAAGTATACTTGGACATTGTGTATATAGATGTACTGGTAACAGTCTTGCTCACTTTCCGTCTTCAGATCAGTTTGATGCACACACGTAAACCTGCAGCTAGGCCTATCAGAGCATCAAGTTCCAATTTTTTCTTCTTGGTGGTGCTGTTGATTGGGCTCCTGTTGGCTTTTATTCCTTTGGGAATCAGCATAGCACAGTAAGTGACAACTTAACTTCTGTGAAGTTGACATTTGCTCCAAGGTTGTCAGTTCCCTAAAAACACACACACAACTTTAGAATGATAAATTGGAATAAAATATATTGTGTATAAGAAATTGAATTATTATTTAGTTCATATAAATAAAAATTACAGTTTTAAAGACAAAGGACATGTTTACCCCATTGGCAAAATGGTGATAGGCTTGTGTTGGATTATTTTATCTTTACATTTTAATATAGCATCTCCTTTCTGTTCTGCTTCTTTGACAGTATCCCTTCCTCCAAGGCATGTGGGCCATTCAGGAGTTTTAACACTTCATGGGGAGTTGTTCCAGATACAATACTTGAGTTTCCAACAGGTCTGCAGCAGGTCCTTCATGGCATAGCATCAGAAGCCTTTGCAGTGCCTTTTTTTATGGTCATCTGGTGAGTACTGTGGAGACCTGATTCAGTCATGCAGCTACGTGATTCATTTCCTTCCTTACTGAACTGATACCAAACAACTATTAGACCAGATTTTTCACCTGCAGTCAAAAGCATCAAAGCCCAGGTCTTGGTTTAAAAAAAAAAAACAACAAAACAAACAAAACCGAACAAACAAAAGACCCAAAACACTCATTTTGTAAGATAAAATTCAACATAGAATCAGAATTTTTAAGGTTGGAGGTCACCTCTAGAGATGATCTAATCCAACCCTCCTGTTCAAAGGAGGGTCAAATAGAGCAGGTGCTCACAAACCATGCCCAGTTGGGTTTTGAATATCTCCGAAGATGGAGACTCCACAACCTCTCTGGGCAACCTGTTCCAGTGTTCAGTCACTCTTGCAGGAAAAAGTTTGGGGTCTTTTTCTTATGTTTAAATGGAATTCTTTTGCATTTCAGTTTAACCTGACTGTTGTCAGATCTTGGAGCCTTGTTACCTGATACTTTCTACAACTTCTATGCTTGAGAAACCATGCAGTTTATTTCAGACTCCCCGCAGGCCTTTCTTCCATAACACATTTATGTGTTCTCCTGAACTGAACCTGTTATTGCGTACACAGGCAATATCAAGCCCTCTTTTTTGGTTTGAGTTTTTTTTCTTTTTTTACTCTATCATAAAGCCTGTGTAAGAGGTGGAGGATGACTTGCACTGCTACCCTACTACTTACTATTTGGAGAAGAAAATAACATGATTTATATAGACATTTGTGCCATTCTAGTTCTTGCTACTGCTCTTTATCATTTAATGCACTGTGGACAATCTGGGTCACAGATTACATCTGGAATATGTGCTATAAGGAGTGGCTGCTTACCATAGTTACAAACCCCAACGGGAGTAAAGAGTTACTCCAACGAAACCTCATTAAACAAAATTTCTGAGGAGCAAAGCCCCCATACATACACTTAGAGCAGGTCAGGAACTGACACTCTAGAGAGAGCTGTCAGAACACAACCTGTAACATCTGAACGTGGCCGTGCCTCTACGTCCTCTAGCACTCTGTCCCTGCCTGCTGGCAGCCCAGATATCTCAGCAGATGCTTTTGAGCAGATCCATGCCCAACCTACCCCAGCCGTATATTGATTTTTTTTTTTAATTTATTTTTTCTCCAGCAGCTTCTTATCTGAAGGAAATGCACAAACTGACAATTTCTTTAGCCCATAACAGCCTTTTTCTGGCTAATTCTGTTTTGCATGATGCTAACATATTATGTTGGTTTGTTGTTTGTAGCCTCATTATGTTCTATTTTATTGCCTTGGCTGGAGCACACAAACGAGTGGTTGAGCAGCTGAGGGAACAACTGGTTATGGTAAGATTTGACCCACTTTTCTGTACCCCTGAAGTTTTCTTTGTTGGGTCGGTAATGAGGCATGCAGAGGAACAACAGTTTTCATAGTCTTCTGGATACTTGGTGTTTGCACAGGCAGTGAAGAATGTTCTACAAATTACACAGGAAAAATAACGGAAGCGCTATAGTATTTCTCAGTCTAGTTGGTTTTCTTGGGTATCAGCTGCAACTGCAGCAAGGTCTGGTTATATCAGGCAACACACATGCATGAGATAAGCCTCTGAGAAGCGGTGTCCCTGTTCTTCATCTGTTGTCTTGCTTAAATCCACCCATCTGCATGGGTTTTTTCTGCTAAACAAGAACCTGAACCTTGTGCTTCCTGTTCGCTCCACCATCTTGCACAACCCCCACCTCTGTTTCCTTCTCCGCTCTCACAAACAGGCACCCGACTCCCTACCCTTCCCACCAGGTCTATCCTTCTACTTCCATCATGTCTGGTTTTATTCCCAAGCGCAGGTCCCAGCACCGCTTGCAGCAGGTGCTCAAAGTGGAGCAGGTCACCACTAACTAGTCCTTCAGAGAACAGTGCCAGTGCAGATGTGGTTCTTTGTGGCCATCAAAAGCTGCTGCCATGTTTGACAGCGTTCATATACTGTGGTCTGTCAAACTCTGCTCTAGTCACAACGTAGCCTCACTAGTAAGACTTCTCACTTTCTTAGGAAATAGCCAATAGTCCTTAGAAAAACACTGTGCTGGGGACGGATTTTTGAAGAGTACAGAATTTAGGAGCAAAAGCCTTACTGCTTTTTCAAGGGTTCCCAAATCAGTTGGGAATTCTGAAAATCCTTGCGTGCTTTTTATTTTTGTTTGTTCACTGTTGTTAGGCTTCTTGGAAGTACGGTTTTAAGTTTTTAGGTGTGTGAGGTGTTTTTACTAGGCTCAACACAGAACTGTTAATATGTGACCTAACATGAGATAAATGAAGTCAAGACTATTGTAAACTTAAAATTGTTCAGACAGTTGAGAGTGTGTTGGGAGACACTTATTAGAGTACAATGTGGTGAGTGCACCTATTTATTTCTAATAAAGAAATGAGCTGTTCCTAGATAACTTGTACTACTTCAGTTCATCTAGAGCATACTTTTTATTCTGTCTTTCCAGGAGAGCCGTGACAAGCTGTTCCTAATCAGAAAGATAACAGAAGCTCAGAGGCATCCTTGAAAACCACGAAAAGCCAGAAGAACTTGACTTCCTGAAACTCCCAGAACCACTAGATAAGCGTAGAGGCATCTGCAGCACCTAAAAACTGAGCAGCTGACTGGCACCCTGGCACTGCACTCTGTGTAATGGACGCTTACGGTCTTAGTCTTGATTATGCTAGTGCGCCTTAAAGTTTCCAAGACTGGAAATTTAACTAATTTTTACTGTGTTAGACCTGTCCAAAAAATTGTGTGGTAGGACACTTTATTGCTGCTACAGTTTCAAGGTTGTTGGGGTTTGTTAAGTCCCTGTTTTTTCAGGGGTTTTGGGTAAAATGGGACCAGAACTGAAACTTTGTACTTTTGAACTTTGTACTGTTTTTACAAATATGCTTTAAGAATCGGGAGGGAGGGGAAAGGTGTGGTTTTACATGTTTCCAATTCAGTTCTCTTAAAACCAAAGCAAAAGAGAGACCTACGTCAGTATTTTGAAATAGTGCATAGGAGAAGAAAATACGGCGTGGGTTTGAAATGAGGTTTTTCTAAATATTTTTAGGGAAGAGACTTTGATATTTATTTTGCTCTGAAATAGCAAGCGCAGTTGAACACTGGATAACTTCACAAAATGGTTCGGAGAAAACAAGCTGATAAAAGAGCTCTGAATAAACGCTGGGAGCAGGCAGAGGCCACCAGTCCGGCCACCGAGCGGTGCACGTCTGCGCAGGGGAAGCCGTTGCTCGGGTACCAGCCTCGCTGCTGTGCAGTAGCCTTTTTTTTTTTTTTTTTTTTTTTTTAAATGTGTTAAGGAATTATTACTTGTGTTTTATTCATCTTGATGACTGTTCTCTTTGTTCTAAAATGTGAGTATTTGAGAGTTAAGTTATAGTTTGGAAATACAGCATTCGGAAACTTATGTGTCAGTACCCTTTAAATTCATGTTTCTTCTCACTTAATGATGGCGCTGTGTGACTCCGAGGAAACGGTATTTCTAAGCAGACTTCTGTTTCCTTTATTTAAAGATTGTGCTTAAGGGTTTTCTGTACAGAATTGTGTTTATTACTTGAAATTTGCCAGTAGCGCACTGTTAGTTAATAAGTGAGAGACTGTTCTTTTTATATACAGTTTTGCAATGTTTTTCTGTCTTCATTTTAAAGAAATTAACATGCAAGAAATGATTTTTCTTTTTTAAAAAACGTAACGTCTGATGTTTTTAAAATTCGTTCTCTGAGCCCGGAGGCCCCCGCTCCCGCCCGCAGCCCGCACCACCGGCACCTCCGCGCCGCCAGGGGGC